AATTCCTTTTTGCCTTCTAATTTAGTCCCACATTTGTTGTGAAAAAACCTGAAACAAATGAAATATATTTTGTTAATTCCAAAATGAACTGAAATAATATATTAATTACGCAATAACACCGTGAATAAAACTAACAATAGAAAGAACTGGTTGTTAATACACTTTAAATGTGAATAATTTAATTCAAAATTCCAGTATGTATGTAGCAATTAATCGTGAAACTTTTTTTCTAAAAACGGTTTACAAGTTCAAGGTGAAACACAATAATTACGTAAAGCCCAATGTCAAGAAATAAAGGAGATAAAGCTACTGTGTAAGTCTTTATAAAAGAATCTGACGATAAAAATGAGTAAATGAATTAAATTTAATCAGTAAATGAATTAAATATTCATAATTTTTTGACTCCTAATATAGGAAAATCACTCACCATGACTTAAATCCTGGCATGTAAAGCCTGGTCTTCGTAATTTTTCAGTCTTTCCATGAATTAGTCTTCCTGCTCCTTTGCGAATTTCCCTTCGAATCGGCGTTATTATTCCTTGCCGACTCCTTGGAGATATTTCTTGGACAAAAGTTTTTGTCGTGTTCGATATGCAAAAGTTTGTCAATTACATGACGTATTTTACAATGTTTACGACCCAAAGGATTCGTATACATCCTTCTTCCTTTATTAGACACAACACTTTAAACAAAACGCTAACGAAATACACCCTCAATGGACATACGAACACTTCGAAATCTAGCAACAAAATAATACAGCAACGCGGAATGATGATACTTTTATACACAAATATTATCTCAACCGGTATGAAACAGTATAATAAACAACTGACAAGCGTCTTTCTATCTCTGTCACACGACAGTAAAACATCGTCGCATTCTACAGCTTGTCACACTCTTATTAAAAAAAAAAACTGTGTTGACTAAATTACTCAACATTTGATTATGTATATTTTAATCTGCAGGTCGCATTGGTATCTGTCAGTTATTCTTATCACACTTTGATGAAATTTATTTAAATCCGTAATATTGCTATAGATAATTGCATAATTTGCTTCATCAGTTTTGCGCTTTGGCTTCAATTAGGGCGATTCACTACCAGAAACGCCAAATTACCCAAAAACAACAAAAAACCTTGTTGTTTACTGCAAACAGTTAATTTTTCCATAACTATGTACTTTAGAAATTTATGAATAATTAAAGTTAATGTCCGAGGGTATACCATAAGGAATTAACTGTAAAATACACCTCTTCAACACATAACAAGCTTCTTGGTGTTATCATTTGCAAAAAATTTACTTGTTTACTAACAGACAGCAAAAACGTTCTAGAGAATTCTCATCTTTGGAAAAAATTGCCGTACAACTCCGTAATAATCCAAGCTATTTTGTCTATAAACACTTAATAATAGCAAAAACTACTACCAAATGTTATAATACATTCCTTCCTCCTTCAAATGATTCGACCAGACTTCAACTGAACTGCTTTATTGAAGAACTTAGAATGATGATATATAAAAGAACAATACAATTTTTGAACAGCGTTTCAAGGACAATATATATGCCGTGTGCACACTTTTACAATATACAGGTCTGCAGAGNAATGAATGGATTTTAACAAATTAATTTTTAACTAGGAAATAAGTAATTTATTGATTATTCCGATGGAATCTAATAAGCCGTAAACTTGTGACTCATGAATATATTATTTTGCTAATTGTGTCACATTAATTGGAACTTCCCGAAATTCACTTCTGCACCGGTTAAAACCGAAACTTCGAGTTTGTTTTCATTAACATATTTGTTCACAATTTAAACGTCTTCACACTTGTTTCCGGAGTTTTCTCTGAATCCGGCTCGAAGGACCATATGTTCGGATGGTATCAGCCTCTCTGCTACTAATTATTATTAGTATTATTATAAAGCGGCACCACCAAAATTAATCAGCGGTGCTATTAATTATTGAAATTGAGAACGCATTTGGATTTTGTGGTTTACTTACATTTACTGTACACGTTAAACAAGGCTAACCCCATCCGAACAATATTTATAACATTATATAAAGTATTCCAAATTTGATTAATACAAAATTGCAGCAAGTATTTTTGACGTCAATCTTTTCAACTCAAAACCGATCAGCAGATTCTCGGACGGTAGCTTAATTATGATTATTTCCATGTTTTCTTAATCGAACTGTTAAGTTTAACAACTTTTCGTTCAGCTAATGACAAACGTAAAAAAAACGTAAATTTATGTATTACATTACCAAAATGACGTATGCAGTTTAGGTCATTTAAAAGAAATGTCTCTAAAAACGCTACAAAAGTCACGTCTTCCACAAAAAATAATAATAATTAGTAGGTATATTAGTAAAATTGTAATTATTCATGTTTTTAAATAAAAGATATCTATTACCTACCAAACGGACTAATTAAAAATTAAACAATCTATTGTTAAAGTGAAATATTTGAATTGACGATAACGTAGCTATTAGTAATTGTATTTTAGCTTCAAAACCAACTAACGATACATATTTTTTATTCAGTATAGCAGTGGTCAAAAAACTTGAAGATTATTGTTAAACATTAAACATTATGCAAATGTAGATGGCACGTCCAATCAACTTCATTCTCAGTAATTATCGAGATGTTTACAGTCCCTCTACTAGCCGATGATTTTTTTTTTTACTGTAAAGAATATTTTAACGTCAAAATAATACTTATGATACGTTTGAAGACGAATGTTTGTTCCCGTTAAACAAAACAAGTAAATTAAGTGTATTCCATCAAAAGCAATAATTACCATTTGACGCATTTTTTTTCTTAGGAAAATGAGAAAACTATGACAACTTAAGCATTGCTAATAAACAATAAATAATTTGTTTCTTGGTAATTTGTGATTATTAACAATATTCAGACAGTTGCGTGAATAGGGGATGACGACACTAAAGGGCGACTTTTATTGTTTACCACCTTAGCTGTTTTTAGGACAAAAATAGGACAGCAATTTCAGAGTACTCCTTAAGTTACGCCACTGTATTCGTGCATAGCATAATGCGTTTTTTAGAACAGTTTTTTCTTAGTTTTTGACGGATAAAAAATAAATCAATTTAATAGTTTTTGTCTGGTCTGAGAATATTAACAAGAAAAGGACCAAAAATTGTGTACAAAGTTCGTATACAGCTGGATACCCCAAAATTATTAAAAAAATTAAATTCAGTTACTGATTTATTAATGTAATTAATTAAACTTTAGGTATAAATATCAGTCGTTCTTTCAATTTCAATCAATTAATCGTTAGAGCGCTTCTTCAAGTAATTATTCAACATTAATTGTGCACATTTACTTCATGTTTTATCATAATTACATAAGTTGCAAGGTAATAAAAGTATTGACGTAAATAATTCACTTAACAACAAGCCTCTATCATTAAAATAATAATTGTCTCCTAGTTGAGACAAAAATCACTTTGTTCAGATGGAGAATAATGCGTTAATTGATTTTACATCATTACTAAATATTGCAAAATTTTTAGTATATATACCAGAGTACCTTTTAATAATGTCTATTAGTTTTGTCAACTAAAAAAAAAAGTACAAAATATTAATACAGTAGAATCCGCTTATAATGACATCGAAGGAAAATGACAAACACGTCATACTAAGCATAGTCTTAGAAAATAAACAACTTTCTATTTTGGTTAGTTATTTAGTTTAATAGAGAGAGAAAAACTACAATTTGTATATATTTATTAACAGAAAAAGAAAAATTACGATGAATTGTAATATCAATATACATAAGAAGGGTCAGAAAAATGAGCGAAAATGTTATTATTAATCATTTGGGTCACTATAGCCGGATGTGATTTCTTTAGAATCAGTCATAAAAAACGATATGTCATTTTAAACGGAGTCATTATATCCAAACTTTCCTATAGAGAATTTAACATGAAAACCAAACTTAACATTACAATTACTTCATATTAAACGGTTGGTCAATATAGGCGGAGTCATAATAAACGAGTTCCACTGTACTTAAAAAATTAACCCCTCGCTTCTAGCACTGTCAGCTACCCCCCTAATAAATATTACGTCACGAAAGTTATCCCCCCTTATAAACGATTACTTATAATTAATAACAATAATGATAATGACTTTCTATAGTAATGAAAAATTTTACGAACTGCAGTTAAAAAAAATAACGAACGTCAAATTTCCTTAGACCACTCTCCCCCTTATTAACAAACTCGTGGGCATTAATAGGGCAGGAACCCCCTTGAAGTGATTCTTTTCTGATTCGGGACATACATGAACCCTAAGCCTAATATAAATCAGGTGCAGCCTACGTCAAAACTAGAAACAATTCTTGTAAATTGATAAAGTATAGATACTAAATGCAATGAGTAATTAATTTCAATTATAACGTCAAAAAAACAACCAGTGATTATCAGGTACATAATTAAAAAATCTGCATAAATGTAAATTCCTAGTTCACAATAATTTTACATGCGTTTTCTCTTTAACAAAACTCGTACTGCTTACGCAAATGTAAGATCTGCATTTGATAATGGTGACGAGAAACTGCTGACGTTATGTTTATTGTGTCCTACCTACACATTAACTAAAGGATTGGATAATAATTAACAAAACAATATCCACGCGAAAACATATTTGTATTGGTAGACACTTATTACTTAAAAGTAATTATAGAGAAGTTCCATTTGGATCCAATTATCGTGTAAAGTACGAGAAAGAAAACCGATCATGTTAATTAAAATCTATAGCCTGTTCTAAGAAATACCAGCTACGTCAAGTGCGACATAATTCATGGGAATCATCATACAACGTCATTTCGCCAGTTTCAATTAAGGTCAATTAAGTTAATTCGCAAAAATGCGTGGAAGACATAACTGTAAATACATTATTTATCCAACTCGGGAAATTAAAAACACGTAAAATTTCCTTCCCATTTTCATACGTAAAAACAATTTTATCTAACTTACCTTGATGAATATTGGTACTCTTCGGCCTGTGGTAAATCCCCTAAATAAATTAAAATGGAAGATGTCAGATGTAGGTAATTAAACGATAACGTACTTATCAATAAAATTAATCGTAAGGGCAAATCGTATCTAAAACAATGTAAGCATTTTTTGGTCGCATCATGTATAAAAATGAATTTTTTTGTAATTGTAATAAGTGTTCATAATGCTTCAGATTTTAAATTCACCCTTATCAGTTCGTTGTAATTAAATAGCTACAAGTTGATACAGAATAACGAACAAACACAAATACATGAATTATGTTATACATAAGAAATTGTGTACATTTTTCAGATAAATGTTCCTGAATTTATTTACAAAAAACGTTTCAATCCACGGTAGGGATAATAAAGAAATCCAGGAATATTTACCTGGAAAAAGTTCAAACAAACTTCGTACAAACACATCAAATTATACCTACCATTTGGTTTATATAAAACACTAACAAACTCTTCTTATCAGTTTATCACCAACAAAAAAAGTACTCATCAATATCACTCACAATAAACAGTCTAATCTAACTCAGGTGCAATTACCTCCCAGTTCTTATTAATTTCATCTAATTATAACTATTAATTTATTTCGATAACCATAAAATCCGTCACGTTGCATTATAATAAAACAAAAGCAGACTACAAAATTATATTCTTTATCTACATTCATACATGGTTGGTCGTGTTCAAAAATAGCAAAAAGAGAAAGGATTCTCACCTTCTTTGACCTTAGGGCATTCTCTCGTTATATTTTATTACATACGAGATTAGTTCAAGAAGCAAAACGGCTTCAGATGCCAAAAAGAGTTGATATACGAGGCGCGTTCAAAAAGCTCAATTCTAAAGTTGAAAGCACATGCTTATTTGTCGAAATTTTTTTTAAATGATTGACAAGCAATTAACTACAACTTTTTTAATCTTCTAGCAGGTAATCTGTTGCCATCGATGCTATTGCATTCTAATTAATTATCTTCTCATTGTGCCTAATTAAATTTTGCATCCTGTTTATATGTATTTATTAATTAATTAATCATTTATTGAAGAGAACGTAGCAGTCAGTTTCATAATATCATTAACTACGTAATTAAGACTCGAGTTTCCAAATTGTTCATTATTTTTTTATCAATATCAAGCGATAATTAATTAAGCTTAAATTGATTATGACAAATGATTTTGTATCAAAAAGTATTTCACGTGGGCACAAGTGACACAATTTTTATCACACATTTGATTGATTAATAAAATAAAACTTTTAAAAATTATAAAAATATTTCTTTATTCAAATCACAAAATAAATTACGTTTTATAGTAGGTAAAAAATTACAATCATACATTTGTACTGCATATGTATTTTATTGATAAGCTGATACTTGAGCTTATAATAAGAGTTGACTATTCATTAGCCTCACAGTTTGTTCGATAAAATTTTTTTTATTAACTAACTTATACTATGCTGCTATTCCAATTATATATATTACACCACTATACGAAGCTTTACTATAATACTGAACAATTATTTAAAAAAAAAACATTTTTTTATTCATAAAATCACACTGTACAATAAAGCAATTTTTCTATAGAATTCCGCAGTGCAATAATTCCTTTTTGCCTTCTAATTTAGTCCCACATTTGTTGTGAAAAAACCTGAAACAAATGAAATATATTTTGTTAATTCCAAAATGAACTGAAATAATATATTAATTACGCAATAACACCGTGAATAAAACTAACAATAGAAAGAACTGGTTGTTAATACACTTTAAATGTGAATAATTTAATTCAAAATTCCAGTATGTATGTAGCAATTAATCGTGAAACTTTTTTTCTAAAAACGGTTTACAAGTTCAAGGTGAAACACAATAATTACGTAAAGCCCAATGTCAAGAAATAAAGGAGATAAAGCTACTGTGTAAGTCTTTATAAAAGAATCTGACGATAAAAATGAGTAAATGAATTAAATTTAATCAGTAAATGAATTAAATATTCATAATTTTTTGACTCCTAATATAGGAAAATCACTCACCATGACTTAAATCCTGGCATGTAAAGCCTGGTCTTCGTAATTTTTCAGTCTTTCCATGAATTAGTCTTCCTGCTCCTTTGCGAATTTCCCTTCGAATCGGCGTTATTATTCCTTGCCGACTCCTTGGAGATATTTCTTGGACAAAAGTTTTTGTCGTGTTCGATATGCAAAAGTTTGTCAATTACATGACGTATTTTACAATGTTTACGACCCAAAGGATTCGTATACATCCTTCTTCCTTTATTAGACACAACACTTTAAACAAAACGCTAACGAAATACACCCTCAATGGACATACGAACACTTCGAAATCTAGCAACAAAATAATACAGCAACGCGGAATGATGATACTTTTATACACAAATATTATCTCAACCGGTATGAAACAGTATAATAAACAACTGACAAGCGTCTTTCTATCTCTGTCACACGACAGTAAAACATCGTCGCATTCTACAGCTTGTCACACTCTTATTAAAAAAAAAAACTGTGTTGACTAAATTACTCAACATTTGATTATGTATATTTTAATCTGCAGGTCGCATTGGTATCTGTCAGTTATTCTTATCACACTTTGATGAAATTTATTTAAATCCGTAATATTGCTATAGATAATTGCATAATTTGCTTCATCAGTTTTGCGCTTTGGCTTCAATTAGGGCGATTCACTACCAGAAACGCCAAATTACCCAAAAACAACAAAAAACCTTGTTGTTTACTGCAAACAGTTAATTTTTCCATAACTATGTACTTTAGAAATTTATGAATAATTAAAGTTAATGTCCGAGGGTATACCATAAGGAATTAACTGTAAAATACACCTCTTCAACACATAACAAGCTTCTTGGTGTTATCATTTGCAAAAAATTTACTTGTTTACTAACAGACAGCAAAAACGTTCTAGAGAATTCTCATCTTTGGAAAAAATTGCCGTACAACTCCGTAATAATCCAAGCTATTTTGTCTATAAACACTTAATAATAGCAAAAACTACTACCAAATGTTATAATACATTCCTTCCTCCTTCAAATGATTCGACCAGACTTCAACTGAACTGCTTTATTGAAGAACTTAGAATGATGATATATAAAAGAACAATACAATTTTTGAACAGCGTTTCAAGGACAATATATATGCCGTGTGCACACTTTTACAATATACAGGTCTGCAGAGAGTCTAAACAATAACCCGATTAATTCTGCGAAATGCCGATAAGTAATCCCGCCGACCTGTACATTGCTCACATCTATTACATGTGTGCCAAAACAACATTAACAATAATATTACAAAAGAAATACAGTTCACTACATAAAAAATACAACACAAATAATAAAAAATTGTTTTCTATTGTATTCAAAGATGCTGCCAAAAGAACATACACACATAATTTTGTACGAAATAAAGATCAGAATAAACAATCTCTGTGACAGACCTATACAATAAAAGTGACGTTAACTTACGATTAGCTGCAAAATTAAAAGGAACCGTAAATATTTGGCGTGTAGGTGTAGGATTCCCAGAAATATGACCCGACGATGAGACCGAATGGTATGTGGGAATTCCCTGAAAAAACTTATTTGCGTTTCGTGTTCAAATTTACCTGAAATGACCCAAATGCTAAATAGATCACTAAATAGAAAAAAAACATTTACGACAGTATCACTGATGCTAATTATAAATATAAATAGGTATTTTTGTGGAACTAAATAAAGTCAGATCTTTATTGGACCAATCAGGTATAAAATCGATATCAATTCGTAAGGGTTATCATCTTTTCATTTGAACCGATATTCAGCAGAGACCTTTTATTACACATACCTAACGTTTTAATCAAAATAAAATTATAACAACTTAAACACACAAGAAATTACGCAAAAATAGGCTAGTATGTCAATAATTACATAATCAATTATTAGATCTTGTTACTGACGTAGTGTATCGCATTTAGAATTGTTTATAAACAAATTGTTCAATTAAAATAATAGCTTTAATAGCTAACTATTTTTTTCATACAAGTGTTTTTCGAATGGCTTAATAAATGCGCGTTTTAAGTTGAGTAGACAATTTTATTTTCAATTTTAAAGATATAATTAACGCGAAATGTAATTTGAAGTTCTATTTTTAATACATAACGTTCATTACAACAAATTTTAGAGGTGTAAATACAATAAAGTAAATAAACTTTGCAATTTAAATAAAAAATGAGAATATTATTAGCAATTCGATGTGTAAATGTATTTAAAACTATAGTTTACTTATTCTGTTAGGTACTCCGTGCTATTTACGTAACAGTTATTCTCATTTTTACCTTGTTTTGGTCAAATTCTTAAAATTATCTATTGTGCGCGTTTTTCTTAAGTGCGCCCTTTTTCGCGCGTTCTTTTTCGCGCTTATTTGAATTCAAATAATTTTCATGATGGCCGCCATGCATCGCGCATGTCAAGTACAGACTTCGTTTGACATTGCTGCTTGATTCATAGATATTCTTGTTTCTAACCTATTATTTATACTATTTACATTAGTTTTATGCTTTTTAAACAAATGTCTGAACTAGACGAATGGATAGAAATAGCAAGGGATTGCAAATATCTTCCCGAAAACGACCTAAAAAAGCTGTGCGATATCGTTGCTGAATTATTACTAGAAGAATCTAATGTGCAACCTGTCTCCACTCCTGTTACCGTTTGTGGTGATATTCATGGGCAGGTACACCTCTTAACAGTGAGTTCTAATAGCTTCTAATTAAATTGATTTTAGTTTTATGACCTAGAAGAGTTATTTCGTCAAGGGGGCCAAGTGCCAGATACCAACTACATATTCCTAGGAGACTTTGTCGATAGGGGCTACTACAGTTTAGAAACGTTCACAAGATTACTAACGCTGAAAGCTAAATATCCAAACAAAATAACGCTTTTAAGAGGCAACCATGAAAGCAGGCAAATTACCCAAGTTTATGGCTTTTACGATGAATGTTTGAGCAAGTATGGGAATGTAAATGCATGGAAGTATTGCTGCAATGTATTTGATCTTCTGACTGTTGCAGCTGTGAGTAACTTATTTATTTCAAACAGTCCTTTATTTCAGTAACATCATTTTGGTTGTGTTTTAGTTAATAGATGAAAAAATACTATGTGTTCATGGGGGTCTTAGTCCTGAAATAAAAACTGTTGACCAAATAAGATGTCTAGAGAGAAATCAAGAAATACCACACAAGGGTGCCTTTTGTGACCTTGTTTGGTCTGATCCAGAGGAGATTGAAAATTGGTAGGCAATTCAATAAGTAGTAAAATTGCTCTGTGACAACTAATATGATGATTTTAGGGCTACAAGTCCCCGTGGTGCTGGGTATCTGTTTGGTGCTAAAGTAACTCATGATTTTATGCATATAAATTCTCTTACTTTGATATGCAGAGCACATCAGTTGGTTCATGAAGGTAAATGGGGTAGCAAACCTGTCTTTAGGACTGTTATTTAGTTTTATAATTACAGGATACAAGTACATGTTTGATGACAAGCTGATTACAATATGGTCAGCCCCAAATTATTGTTATCGTTGTGGGAATATTGCCAGTATTTTGGAGTTTCAAGCAGCAGACAAAGCTGAAGCCAAACTTTTTAATGCAGTGCCTGATTCAGACAGAGTCATTCCAAATAGAACAGTTACACCCTATTTCCTTTAATTTAACTTTTTTTTTAATATTAAATAAATTATTCAATCTCAAATAAAATAATGAACTTATAATAGCTGTCTTTTCCTTGTTTTCTATTAAATAAACATTTAAACTTAATCACTTTTATGTTTATTTTATCTCTAAAATAGTTATTAATTGATTAGTTTTTTTTATAGAACAAATAATTACTTAATGTTTCCAGCTCAGAGTATATAGGCTGTTACTTAATGTTATTTTATACATCAGTTCTGATATTTTTT